ATTTTTAGGAATTCCTTCTCAGGCATTTCCAAAGCCTGCCCATCTTCCAGTATGGAGTGTAGGTCTCCTTCCAGCTCATTTGCCTCAGTCACTTTATCTCATGTGCAGATATGATCATCTGCTTCTGTTTTTGGGGTATCTTCAGGGGTTATCTGTAGCCTTAATACTTAGATGGGTATGTATTTTGGTATTTTTGATGCTTTCTGAATGCCCCAAAGTAGATGTGATCAGGAAATGGGCTTCCCTTTTCACTCTTCTTTCTGAGAAGTTTCAAGATACCACTGTTGGTCATTTTAATGTCACTTAGGATTTAATTTTCGGCCTATTTCCTCTTTTATCTTCTTGTTCCGCTCCACAATCCCCATTCAGGCCTTTTTTCTAGTTGTATACAGTTCAGGGCTGGCTGTGGCCATTTGGTTTTAATTGGAAACAGTCTCTTTAAATTTCGAGGAGATCTGAGCGCATGCATAGTAGAACCCTCCAAGGGTGGGGGTAGAGTCCCCACTAGCTCAGGCACCCCTATAGTCACCAGAATGGAGGTGCGCAGACAGCAAGGGACCAATGAACAGCTACCAAAAGAATGTACACACCTTTATCTCCAAGGTTCTGCCAGGTGTCTGTGGCCGCTCTGATCCTTCCCCCTGCTTGGTCTCACCCAAGATGGCGGCTTCTGGACAGCCGAGCATCCCCGACTAGAAAGCAATAGATTTCTTGCTTCTGCCACAAATTCCCCAGCTGTGAGCCTTCCAACCTTCTAAATATTCCTTTATATGTGGTTCAGGGCTCTGGGACCATTCCCTGAGCCTGCTTGGTCGGGTATTCTGTGTTGCTGTTGGCGGAGCTCTTTACTACACGTCCACCGAATCCGCCATCTTGTTTGTTCTCAAGGTAGAAGTTTTGTAATGAAAGCAGAGGAGTAGTTCATCTTACAACCCATAAACAGTAGTCTAGGACCACTAAGGGAGAAGAGTATAGGTGGAATTCAGCCTCCTATCCAGAGACACAGTGACAGTAGAGATGATGGCATGGAGAGATAGAGCTGCTGAATATTCTAGCCTCATGGAAAAGAAAGACTGTGTGCTGGAGGCCAGGAGGAATGCTTCCAGAATGTGCCCTTTGGTTGTTTAAGTTATTGTATATTCTTGAGTGAAGAAGAAAGAAGAGGAAAAAAAGTGTCATCTGATACAATTAAATTAACTTGACCTACACCTATAAAGGCAGTAGCTCAAAAGCGGAAACAAATCCTTGCTACAAGAATTATTCCCTACCCCTCCACACAAAGAGTATACAGGGATGGGCAACTTGGGCATTGACTACCCAAAATGGGGGAAGGGGTACCAAGGAAAGAAGTGACTGGATTACAAGCTTTCAAGCGTGAACCTACCCCTCCACACACAGAGTAGACAGAGATGGGCAACTTGGACATTGGATACCCAAATTGGGGGGGGGGAACTACAAAGGCAAGAAGTAACTTTACAGCAAGGAGGGAGTGATTAACTTTTCAATCTAGGAGTGGAGGGCCCTGGGACCATCAATGGAGAATAGCAGAGAGCAGGACCCCACCCAGAGAAGCAGTGAGGCCTGAGATGGAGGCAGAGAAGGTGATGTGGAGAGATGGAGTAGCTGGGGACTTGAGATCCAGAGAGGGAAAGGGGTTGTATAATGAGGACCGGTGGCTGGGGGTTTCGGCTTGTAAGGTATACCCTTTGGTTTGGTGATGATCCATCAACGGGATGGTAACTATGGCATTGAAAGTATATATGATAGAATGAATGTAAAACTTATGTTCTCCCATGTAAACTACCACACAATTCATGAGAAAACATTTATTTAAAAAATGTAAAATTATTAACACAATGTCTGTAACCCAGTGGATTGCTCAATAAATGTAAAACGCAAAAAAAGGAAAAGTGTGCATTGGAAGGTAGAGTTCCAACTGAATAGTTTTCATTTTGTCTAGACATGTCCGGTGAAAATAGATGGGGATATGATTCAGTCATTAGTAATGGTTATCATGACTACTCATGACTGTCAAAACTGTAGAGGTAGAAGTTTTGCATTAAAAGTGGAGGGGTCGTTTATGTTACAACCCAGAAACAGGAGCCTAGGACCACCAAGGTAGAAGAGCACAAGTGAAATTCAGGACCACTATCCAGAGACACAGTGAAACCAGAGATGGAGGCAGAGATGATGACATGGAGAGATAGACCTGCTGAATATTCCAGCCTCTTATAAAAGAAAGACTTAGAGGCCAGGAGGCATGCTTTCAGAATGTGCACTTTGGTTGTTTAAATTATAGTATGTATATTCATGAGTGATTTTGTATAAATCCCCCACCCTCAAAACAACCACAACTGAAACCAAAAGAGAGTTAATAGAAGCAAATACTGTTGAATGATTATGCATGGAGTAGATTGTAATCATTGCAATGAAAGGATGGTATAAAACCGATGGTCTCCCACTTAAGCTATAGGTAAATTCAAAATAAAAACTTAAGGGCAAAAAATTGAAGGAATACACAGAGTTGCTGTGCTAAAGAGAATTGTTCTATTTTGAATAGGAAAAGGCTTCTGATTGTGTGGATCATTACAAGCTATGGACAACATTGCAAAGTATGAGTATTCCAGAACAGTTAACTGTGCTCATGAGGAATCTGTACATCAACCATGAGGCAGTTGTTTGAACAGAACATGGGAACACTGGATGGTTTAAAATTAGGAAAGGTGTGTGCCAGGGTTGTATTCTTTCACTATACTTATTCAACCAGTATGCTGAACAAATAATCTGAGAAGCTGGGTTATATGAAGAAAAACGTGACATCAGGATTCAAGGAAGACTCATTAACAACCTGTGATAGGCAGATGAATGTTTATGAAGAGCGAACAAACTATGTCTGCCAAAAACAGTAAAACTGTTTCAAAGGGTCAAATCTGAACTTTGGAACTTTCTCTGCCCCACAAACATATATTGGATGACTGAAATCCGCATTTGCCTTCATATTCTCGTTGAAGAAACCCTATGTTTTTCTCCATAGAGGGAACAAGAATCTTAACCAGATTCCAAATGCCAGAGAATCCATTGAACACCATGGTAACAATCAGCGAGATTCCACTATGTTTCCGCACGGAACTGTTTCTCTAATGCACCAAACCAGCAAAAACACCGCAGGCGGAAGTTTGTGTTCTCATTGAGCTTCTTTCTACTCCAGTGACAGGTACATGTGGACTGCATCTCTTGTCAGCTGGTTCCAACCCTGTCTCCCGCGCGCCCTGGTCTCTTTTCCGACCTCCAGGAGACTAAATGTCGGAGGTAGGAGGGCTGCAGATGTTAGTTCGGGCTTCTGGTGACATGCTGTGCGTCTTTAAGGAGCAAAGTACTGTTCTCTTTCCGAAAAGTCAGAGGACCCAAGTAGGTGAGTGTTGAATCCCTATTACCCAGGTTACCTTCCTCCCTTATATTCCAGGCCCCGGTTTGTTTTTTCTTTTTGTAACTTAGGCGTTTCCCCCTGGGATACGCACACTGGCCCCGCACATCTTCCTTCCGTTTCCGGTCTTACACGTGGAGCAGGGAGAGGAGTGCAGTCTGTGACTGTGCTCCACAAAGGACCAGGATTGGAGTCGCGGATGGCCGCTGTGTGTCTGTTCCCAACGTGCCCGGAGCTCCAGGTCCACTCCCGTCCCTCGGCCTGAATCCGCGGAACTCCGGGTCCTGTCGGCAACCTGCTCTTAGACTTCCCGAAGGTGGAGCGCGGGAATGGTGAGTCCATGGGCGTCCTGGGATCAGCACTGCACCGCTGTCCTCAGGGTCGGCGGTTCAAGCCCA